TTCTATTATCTTCGTTCGCAAGTACACATCAGCTGCTTCTGAGTTATGTATCTCTTGCGCCTTAAATCTGTTCTTGGACTATTCTATTCTATATTTCTATTCTATTCTATATTTGTAAATATTAAACCATTAAAGTATACAAAACAATTTATATGACTCATTCTAAATTAGTAGATTTGTTATGAAATTCTGATAAAAATAGGTGATATGATAAAGTGGTCTGTTTTGTAAATATTTATTATTTTTTATTTTTGTGCATTGTAAATTTTCTGTCAGTTTATTATTAAAGTCCATATTGATTAGTTAAGGTTTAACTATATTTTTGGGATTCACTTTAGACATACAAATAGTTATATATGTATAGTTATATTTATCTGATAGACTTATCATTTGTGTACTATATATTAAACCTTTCATTTATCATAAGTTATGAATAATAGAGATACAGGGTGAATAATACAGTTTATTGCTTACTTAGTTTATAGATTTTTATCAATAAAAATATAGTTTTTATGGAACCCTTTTATTCGAGCGTATTATATACTTAATCATCGAATTATTTAACGACCAATGGCTAATTCCAGTCTATGTTTTCGGGTGACTCGTCTTTTCAGTCGACAAGGTAATTATAATACTATGCTGAAGTATATAGAGAGTATATTATACTATATTGCTATTAGAGTTATCAGAGTATACTACAGAACTATACTCGTATTTATATAATAATACACTATACAAAAGCCAGTTCAAGACAACACAGTTTTTTGTATGTTAATAAATTTTTTGTGAAGGAGTTGAAGATTTTTTCTTTATAACAGAAAGTGTAGTTGATCACTTTCTTTAGTAATTAAAGGTTGCCATAATACGATAAAGGAACGATAAAGGATAAAGGTGTAAAGAGGGGTTTTGAAAATACCTCGAGTTAAAAAAGAGTAAAAGTGCTTAAGTGCTTTAAAAGTGCTTAAAGTGCACTGACTTAAATAGTTTTAACATGAAACGGAAAAGTATTTCATTCTTATAACTATTACTTTTGTTAAGAAGTATAATTAGTTTCATTAGCTTTGTTACTCTAGTATGCAGGAGTCATCTCTTAAAAAAAAAGGTATCTGATACATTCATATAAATGTCAACAAGATTATTATGAAAAAAAGGGAGCAATTCGTCATCAAAGACGACTTAAGAGTTTAACTAACGATCAATTATTTGAATTAAATTATGAACTTTAGCTTTATGTATATTATATAAATATGTTCTATATCTAGGACTGCAAGGATGGCTTCTTTAGAAAAAAAACAACTTTCGATTACACTATCATCACCTTCGTCATGAGAGATCACTTCAAGAGTTCAAATCATATTTAAAGACCAATGTAACTGAGTTTATGTTGGTCACTAGATGTAGCCCTTGTGTTCTCAACCTTTTTTTCAATTGTAATTATTGTTATTGCTGCCCCTTGTAAATGTGTTAAGTAACAAATAAATTGCAAATGTATTAGCATTAATGATGAAATCACAAAACTACTGCTACAAAACACTAAACACAACCGGAAAGTAGCACTTAATGTATTAAAAGAAAAATACGCACAATATTGATATCACTTTTTTCCTTTGTAAAACACAAAACATTGTAATTGTTTTATTTGATAATTATTTTTCACAAACTCACCTTCCCAGTAAAAAGTGAAATCAGTTTTTGGGATATTGCGATCCAATATCGAGCATATTCGGTGCTCCACTGCTTGTCTTAAGGGGATGAAATTTTCGTAACGTTTTAAGTAAGTAGAAAAAACTTTTTTTCCATTGCGGAAGGTAATTTTAATGTATTCGTCATCCATTTTGTTAATATTACTTTTTATTATTTATAAATTGAAGTTTCAATATATGAAATTTATTACTTTACTTTAATGTAGTAAATTAATTTGTTATTACTTCAAAGTAGTAAATATAATTTATTTTTTTAGCGCAGTAAATATATTATTTATTTTTTAATAAAATATCGATTATCCTTTTAAATTTAATACACTTTAAAACTTTTTTTTCAATTTATATTACGGTTCTAATTTTATTGCTTTTATACTTTATCGACCAACGATTGTACGAAAATGTTAATCAACTAGTTGAGTTTGTTCCTTTTATACTACGCAATTTCATAAAAGATTCGTTAGGTACGTGTGAGTTTTCATCAATTATGTGTAATATGCTCCAGAATTTTCCCGAAGTTTTTAATTTGCATTTGTATTCTTGATTCTCAAATTTCTGCCGATTCACTATTCATTAGTTGACAGGTAAACTGTTATTAATATTTTTCTAAAATTTGCACCCTCACTGTAACCCAAAACTTAGTTTAGTTGTGAAATAATCGCGAAAAGAAGGAACACACAAAAACAATAACAAAAAGAGCAATCGAAAGTGATAAGAAAGAAGAACGAAAAAAACATGCAATGCTGCCACTTAAAAATGTA